CTTTGATCAAAATCAACTGATAATTACCATTGTGAGCAGCTAAAGCACAAACTCAAATAATTATTTTTGTTATAGTTTGGTTGACGTGTTATGCGTCTCATGCCTCTCTCTGTGATTGATAGTGGGACACGTTACAGAACATAATGGTCTCAGGAACTGAACCCCCAAAATTCGCTGAGTTAAATAACAGCGTCGAAAAGCTAATTACTGTTGATGTATGTGTCAACAAACTGTAAGTTGATCAGTTTTATATCCGGTAGTTTTGATAGTAAGTGATGAGTGGCCTGTGCTGGAGGCCTTTGACCCTTCCCTCACCTCACAAGAAAAGTGTTTGCTTAACCTAAGTGCCGGCCCGAGGAACTTGAAAGAGATGAGCAGCGGGGAAAACCACACCGAGTTTTCCCCCTTTACAAACAGAGCCGAGCTGACTCTACAGTTCTGACAGGATTACCCGCCTTACTGCAGTCGGCGTTTATCTCCCTCTACACTTCCCCCGCATTATTATTATTCGGTGTTGATCCTCGTTAGAGTTTCAAGCCTTCCACTTACAGCCTCGCCTCTTGAGGTCGTCGTCTCTGAGGGCTCTTTAGTTCCACGGGAGGGTGGATACCCCCTCCCTCAGCACATGCGATATCATACACAATATCTGGGTCACGGTAGATAGCCTCATATAGCAGCATCAGAGTAAGAACTCGTCCCTTAAGCCTCAATTTTCCCGGTCAGTGAGTCGGTATAAACATCGTTCTATAATGGCGTCATGATGTTTGTTTACGTTGATCAGCTGGTGTTATTATTTGTTGTTTATGTTTATGACCACACACACACGTGGCCATACATTTATACAATGTTAACCATCACATGTGCATCTTCTGTCCACCATAGAGAAGGTTACAAGTTGTAAGAGATTGTAATCATTCAATGGCAGGACTGATTCATGCAAAAATGTTGAGTGTAAATGTGTTTGTAAATGAAGCATTATTGAATCTTTTTTTAAATAAAGTGTGAATAAGATTATATTAACGAAGAATATATACTAGAAAATATTATATATATATATATATATATATATATATATATATATATATATATATATATATATATATATATATATATATATATATATATATATATATATATATATATATAAACCTGAGGAGGACGGGCGGTACCAATTAATTAACACCGAGGAATTAATTGCGAAACCTGTATATCTTTCCTCAATCATGGCGGCTTAATCTTTATTTATTAAGAAATTCATGAACTAAGAAATTTTGCGACCCCAGGTTACTGTTATAGTCACCCTTTGAGGCGCTTCCAAGCCCATAAACTGTTTCAAAAATGTACACTAAGTCGCCGTGAATAAGAAATTATGAAGAGTTTTGGCTAGTGGTGTGTGTTAATACCAGGTTGTCCTATCACTTCTTGCTACTGTTCAGAGCAATGGCTAATACGTGGCTGTTATCACGTCTGTGTTTAACAGTGTAAGCAGGTAGAATATCTAGGACTAATTGCTCTTTATCAACAATAACTGACACACGTTAATATCGCAACACGTATAAAGCTGCTGATAAAAGAACTTGAACAAATTGTCAGTCCCAGCATCTCCTCACAGTGTGAGAGCAACTCTGGTGAATGATAATCCTGTGGCAGCAACAACTTTTATTATTCTGGTAAAAATGGACGTTGTGTCACTGTTAGACAGTGTGAGGAATCTTAAGATGTGACCCAACACTGCTGTGTGTGTGTGTGTGTGTGTGTGTGTGTGTGTGTGTGTGTGTGTGTGTGTGTGTGTGTGTGTGTGTGTGTGTGTGTGTGTGTGTGTGTGTGTGTGTGTATGTGTGTGTGTGTGTGTGTGTGTGTGTGTGTGTGTAGGTGCTCTGGGCCCAGATTCACGAAGCAGTTACGCAAGCACTTACGAACCTGTACATCTTTTCTCAATCTTTGGCGGCTTTGTTTACAATTATTAAACAGTTAATGAGCTCCGAAGCACCAGGAGGCTGTTTATAACAATAACAACAGTTGATTGGCAAGTTTTCATGCTTGTAAACTGTTTAATAAATGCAAACAAAGCCGTCAAAGATTGAGGAATGATGTACACGTTCGTAAGTGCTTTCGTGAATCTGGCCCCTGGACATCACTCTCCGGCGAGAAGGGACGAGACACCATGCATAATCCTGAGGCCAGATTTCTATAATGAAATACAAGCAGGAGCCTCAGAGGCGTGTTTCTCCACGCCACCAATGTCCTACGACAGTGGTCACGGCTACAATATTATGCGTGGCAAATGACACATGTATCCACTTTCTCATAGTTGCCAGCTAAGTAACACATTCGAAACACAAAATGCCACCACCAAGCCAGTTGTTTACGAAATGATGAACTTCGCATGTTAGATCTGGTCTTCTCTGGAGCTACAAATCTTCCATCTATATTGACTGTTTGTATTGACCTCAGATTTTTATGTTGATCTAAACCAACTTGAGACTCCCAGTGAGTTTGCTTCACTTTTTGTTTGGTGTAAGGCCTGTTAACCTCTGGAGGGCTATTAAGGCCTCCACAATAGCTGACTGCTAGGTGGACAGGCGCATCAGGGTGAATGAAACCCTTCCCGTTAGTGTCTTACCTCCGCCGGGAATCGAACGCGGGCCCTTAGGACTACGACTCCCGAGTGCTGTCCACTGAGCCGCGAGGCCGTGTACTCACCTAGTTCTACTCACCTAGTTGTGTTTGCGGGGGTTGAGCTCTGGCTCTTTGGTCCCGCCTCTCAACCGTCAATCAACAGGTGTACAGATTCCTGAGCCTATCGGGCTCTGTCATATCTACATTTGAAACTATGTATGGAGTCAGCCTCAACCACATCACCCCCTAATGCATTCCATTTGTCAACCACTCTGACACTAAAAAAGTTCTTTCTAATATCTCTGTGGCTCATTTGGGCACTCAGTTTCCACCTGTGTCCCCTTGTGTTAAATAGACTGTCTTTATCTACCCTATCAATTCCCTTCAGAATCTTGAATGTGGTGATCATGTCCCCCCTAACTCTTCTGTCTTCCAGCGAAGTGAGGTTTAATTCCCGTAGTCTCTCCTCGTAGCTCATACCTCTCAGCTCGGGTACTAGTCTGGTGGCAAACCTTTGAACCGTGTGTGTATGCGTCAGTGTGAGTGACAGCGTGTATAGGCCTGAGAGCGTGGGAACGCGTGTGTGCGCTCACTAAAAGTTTTATGACATCATAGTCTAAGTGGCCGGCCGCTGGGCCTGAGTTGTTTATCGTTTGTACATTAACTCTCATTAGTGGGGACAGCCAGCCAACACCCCTCCCCCCCTCACAGCACCCCTCACCCTCACACCCCCCCCACTCACAGCACGACGCCACCCTCACCCTCCCTCACAGCACCCCCCCCCACCTCACAGCACCCCGCCACCCTCACCCTCCCTCACAGCACCCCCCCCCCACCTAACAAAACACTGATGTCATCCACTACTGGATGTCATTTTAGTCACCGCAGAAGAAGTGAGACAAATCCTGAAGGAACTAGACATGACAGAATCAATGGGACCAGACCTTATCTCTTGTCATGGGTGCTGAAGGAGGCGGCAGCTGTTCTCTCACCCGTTGTCGAACATTTTAAATATAAACACCGGAGACAGGACATCTCCCAGACGTCTGGAAAAAGGCAAACATAATCCAAATATTAAAAAAAGGGATAGAAAGTAGGCATTACCCCGTACCCTGTACGGGTACGGGAGTGAACTATCCGTACCCTGTACGGGTAGTTCACACGTTGAATGCTCAAAAAGGAGGCGTGGAAGCCACCTCCATGGACAACTTTAAGGCCAGATTCGACAAACAATTTGAATGTCAGAATAGTTCAAATTCAAACGCAGCAAGTAGAAGGCTTGTAAGTGGGGGTATATAGAGCGACTAGATCTCACTTTCCGTAGACACTGATAGGTAACCACTGTTGGGTAAGGTAGGTATCACGCCACCACCCTTACCAAGCACTTACCAAGACAAAATGACTTCAAGGGCAGGAAGGCAGTCAGGAAGCTCGGGAACCAGACAGACAGACAGACAGACAGACAGAGGGGCCACAGAGACGTTAGAAAGAATTTTTTCAGTGTCAGAGTAGTTAATAAATGGAATGCACTAGGAAGTGATGTGGTGGAGGCTGACTCCATACACAGTTTCAAATGTAGATATGATAGAGCCCAGTAGGCTCAGGAATCTGTACACCAGTTGATTGACAGTTGAGAGGCGGGACCAAAGAGCCAAAGCTCAACCCCCGCAAGCACAATTAGGTGAGTACAATTAGGTGAGTACAGACAGACAGACAGACAGACAGACAGACAGACAGACAGACAGACAGGCAGGCAGACAGACAGACAGACAGACAGACAGACAGACAGACAGACAGACAGACAGACAGGCAGACAGACAGACAGACAGACAGACAGACAGACAGACAGACAGACAGACAGACAGACAGACAAGCAGGCAGGCAGACACGACAAGATATCAAGCCGATGACAAACAGCAATGCAGGCAACTGCAGTAAACTGACCTCACACATTTTACCATGTGACCGGCGCTCTTCCACAACGATACCCGTGGAAGCTAAACCCGCGCTTCCCCACAACGTCAGCTCTGGAAGCTACGATGCCTGGCATCCTATCAATATGTTTTGCTTGCTGACTGCGAGAGGAGGAAAAAAAGTGCTCCTTACAAGCGTACATGAACGAGAATGACGTTTCAATAAAGCATGAGAGAGAGTGAGGGTCTTGTTCGACCGGGGAGAATGCACTCAATTTGAAGTTTGTTTTAGGTGACAGTATAAAGGCCCTGGTACCACAAGGGCTTAGTGGGGTGCCTGCTATCTACTGACAAAACAAACTGGAGGAGACAGTTTCAGCTTTGTCCGGTGGTACAAGAAGCTAGACAAGTCCGGTCCTAGCCCTCTTTACAGGCCTCAACCCACGCCCCGTTCTTATTTGTCAACTTCTAAACTTTAATTGAGTTGGCCGTCGGAGGGCTCGCTTCATCTGTCTTGTCGAGAGGTATAGAAAATGGGCTGCGGTTGGGTGGGGAAATAGGAGGTGGTGGTCCACCTGTGGTTTGTGTTTTAATGGCTGTTGGTGACTGTGGCTTGGGGCGACTTTGGGCCTGAAAGCGAGTACAAGAAATGAACTTTAAAAGGCCCAATAGTTTAGTCTAGATGGTGGTTGGTAAACGTCGTGGTCACCGGAGGAACAGGAAGGGGCTGGTCAGAGATGGCGGGAGCGGACAAAATCCATTCCTCCGTGGTCAGTAGGCTATTCTAGTGGCTTTAATAATATTGATCAAACCAGGTATCTTGGCGTTAAGAAATCCATCTAATCGAGACTAAATATATTGATGAAACTCGCCTCACAGACGACCAGAGAACTGGTCGTCCAGAACTGGTCGACCAGAGAACTGAGCTCCAAGTAAGGTGAAAGATTTTGTGTTACCCAATGACCGGTTATTAAGGCCACCACAATAGTTTGCTAACCAATTACACTTTGGTTCTGAACATAGTCTCGGACTAGACTCTGTGTATATACATTAAGAAGCATACACCACTCTGTGTGTGTATATATTATATATATATATATATATATATATATATATATATACATTTTGACGTGAAGGATTGACAAATTATTTAATTTCTGATTTATAAGAGTTAACGACATTGTGTAATAATACGAAGAAAGGATGGGAAACTTGCTCGTTTTCAGTTCCATGTTGAGAGTTTTGAGTGTCTTAATAACTGTTGAAGAGTACCTAGCATAACCTAATCTAAACTAGCCAAACCTAACCTATACTAACCTAACCTAGCCTAAGCGATACTAACCTAACCAGAACCTAATCTATCCAAACCTAACCTATCGTAGGAACACCTAACCCAATCTAACGTAAAATAACCTATAATAACTCTAACCTAAACTAACCTATTCTCGCTACAGATGATTTAAACCGTGAGAATCTAGGGCATTATTGAAAGAAAGGAAATTCTATACAAACTATATTCTATACGAAATTCTATACAAACTATATTCTATACGAAATTCTATACGAACTATATTCTATACGAAATTGTATACGAACTATATTCTATACGTAATATATTCTATACGAAATTCTATACGAATTCTATACATACTCTATACGAACGGTTGGCAAGTGGACTACATCGAAGAAACACGATAACTTGAACGCCAGACAAAAAAAAAAAGCGGTCCAGGTAGAAAAGGTTAGGGGGGGGGGCCTCCATAGTAATTGCTAGGTAGGGGGCCGCCAGGTAAGAACAAACACACTGGGTGAACAAATTAGCTGAACAACACCCGCAGCGTTCAAGAGGTAAGGCATTAGGATACGCCTCTTCCTATTACGGGCTCACCATAGCCCGTGCTACTTGGAACTTTTTGTCCTGAGTAGTTGAATCTAAAATCTCTTTTAGAAGGACTTTCTGTTGAAGCACCGGCCTCGACTCTTCATGTCATAGATACATAAAGACAAGACAAATTTCCAATATATGTTGTCTTAGAGAAACTAAACTACATTATTATATATATTATTAATATATATATATATATATATATATATATATATATATATATATATATATATATATATATATATATATATATTCCTTATATATATATATATATATATATATTCCTAGTCCAACTTCAGAGGAATTCGAAGAAGTGTTTGACTTGCAACAATGATCGAACCCGTCTGTGACATTCATCAATGTTTCCCATTGTTGTGTTCTTCAAGAGATCCATAACCTTTAAGCACCTTTTTGCATTATTATTTTTGTATCAACCCATGTATATCTTGTAACCATCAAATGCATAATAAAGCACAAAAAATATTCAAGGAAGGGGTGGTAGGAGAAAAGCACACAGAAACTGTATTGGAGGGGATCTAAACATTCCCTCTAATGCGTTATGCGTGGTTTCCTCCGAGGCTATGGGTCCCCCTTCTTCCAGCTAGAGGTGGTACTCCCTTCCCTATATATATATATATATATATATATATATATATATATATATATATATATATATATATATATATATATATAATTAGGGATATTATATATAAAATATTAAGGGAAATTGACAGTTGACAAAAGGTCGTGTTCACTATTGCCTGTCAACAAAAGGCCAAAAATGTTCAAAACTGCTTTTATCTTTTTACTTTTAGCTTACTTTTACATGTTAGGTGAAGGACCTGTCGCAAACGCTATGGTTGTTAGTGGCTTTACACGAATACATGAACACTAATGTTATGTACTCTCACAACCCAATGTACCTTCTTGTAAGTAAATAAATAAATAAGTGTAGAGCGCTCTTGGGACCAAGAGCGCTCTTGGGACCAAGAGCGCTCTTGGGACCAAGAGCGCTCTTCTCTCAACCTCCAGTCACGAACTGATGACCAGTTACACACAACGTGATAAACTGCTGGCGATGAGTCACAATAACGTGGCTAACGTTATTAGCCACGTTAGGCTTCTAGTTTTTTTTATTATTATTTTCTACCACAGACGTGGCCACACATTTACAATGTTAACCAGCATATATACATTTTCTTCTGTCTTAGGCTTCTAGTGTGTCGTCTGATCAACTTTATAAACTCTTTCCTTCAAGCAGGGAGCCGAGAGGACAGCACGCTGGACTTGTGATTCTGTGGTCCTGGGTTCGATCCCAGGCGCCGGCAAGAAACAATGGGCAGAGTTTCTTTCACCCTATGCCCCTGTTACCTAGCAGTAAAATAGGTACCTGGTTGTTAGTCAGCTGTCACGGGCTGCTTCCTGGGGGTGGAGGCCTGGTCGAGGACCGGGCCGCGGGGACACTCAAAAAGCCCCGAAATCATCTCAAGATAACCTTAAGAAGCAGGAGCCCCAAGGCTGAGTGGGTGGCAGGTGGTGTTACTACAATGCTCTACATATATCCCCATATGTTGTTATAGATTCAGCTACTGGGAACACGTTCCAAGTAGCACGGGCTATGGTGAGCCCGTAGTGGACTTACCTGGCACAGGAGCGGTGCTGTGTGCGCCTCCTGTACCCCCATAATGTACGGACTACTATATAGCGCTGCTTATATCATACCATCTCCGATTATCACCCCCCCCCCACCACCACATCCTCCCTAACAGCCCAACCTGTTCTGAAAAACATCACCTCCATGGTCGTTAGTCATGGCATCTGGCAACTCTTCCACTAAGCAACACATTACTCTGAAGAAACTAAGTACTGCATAAGCTTCTCAAAGCTTAATTTAAGTTAAAATACTAGTTTGGCGGATTTAAACAAAAAATTATAAATATATATATACCAGTTTTATATTATGTCGAAATATAGTGAGGAACCTGTCACGATAAGATCGGTAGTGACGCCATAGAAGTCTCAGTCAGCCGTCATATAGGTTTAACAGCAGAGATTATCTCCTCTCAACCGCGAGATCTATTTTAAAGTCTTATGACATAAATCCCGATAACCTTGATTCCGGACAGGAGCTACGCGGGCTGAGGTTAATCCTTGATTAATGGCGATTTGTACCATTTATAAGCGTCTTGGGACGCTGCTACAGGAACGTCCTCACCATTATATCCTAAAAACCGTTACCAACCAGGAGTCCTCATTAACGTTCCCGCGAATAACGATGCTAATATTATGATTACAATTAGGGGCCCTCACCATCAGAAGAATATAATTGCCGTTGAAAAGAGCGAGGACAAGACAGATTCAGCACCGCTCCTTTGCGAGGTAAGTCCACTACGGGCTCACCATAGCCCGTGCTATTTGAAACTTGTTCCAAGTAGCTGAATCTATAACAACAACAACAGAGCGAGGAACAACACACAAATCCTCCCAAACACAGCACCGCTCCTGTGCCAGGTAAGTACACTACGGGCTCACCATATCCCATGCTACTTGGAACTGTTTGTTCCTGGTAGCTGAATCTTAAACAACAACAATCCTGCCAAAGCCAAGCCAACCTTCGCACCAGACAGAGGAGGTTGAGGGCCTCGGGACTAACAAGCTCGACACGACAGGACTCTCCTCGTTGAGACCACTAAACTACTGAACAAATTGGAAGACATTAACCAAGGCATTAATCACCTTATTTGCATTGGACCTTATTTAAAAGGTCCAATGCAACACACGCAAGAGTCAACAGCTTCAAGCTCCACAAACTACAATGTAGGACAGTCAACACACTTTTTCCCCCCACTTGAAGCGGTAAAATACCCAGACAGAGCTCCAGTTTAAAATACAACTGGAAAAAATTACTCAAGACTAACGGGGGCCGTACTGGCGAGGACACGAAGACTCGGAGAGGAGAAAAATACATTCCAGGGAGTCGTGTCTGGTTCCGTGGAGCGAATATGAATACGCTTTCTCAACCAGCCCCAATGATTGCGTATTTCCAGCTGTAATTAACAAGATTGCTAACAAAATGAAAGCACACAGACGAGTCTCAGTGGCTGCCGCTCTCGCCAGAAGATTGTGTGAAGACGTACAGGTGATGTACATGTGTAGTCGCTATAGCAGTTAGGTTTGTTCTCGGCTCGCAATCGGGAATTCCGGGCGGGGCAGAAATGATTTGAGCGCGTTTCATTTAAACTAATACACCTGTTCACCTAGCTGTAAATAGGTACCAAGGAGTTCGTCAGCTTGATGTAGGGTTGCATCCTGGGGGGGGGGGGGGGGTTAGTATTTCGACATGGGGAGGGGCCTCAATATAATCCAAATATGTATATATATATATATATATATATATATATATATATATATATATATATATATATATATATATATATATATATATATATATATATATATATATATATATATATATATATATATATATATATATATATATGTAATATATATGTAATATATATATGTAATATGTAATATTACAATATATATTAAATATATATATATATATATATATATATATATATATATACATCGGCTGCCTGTCCCCGGACACAGTAATATTATATGGCGCCGAAAAAATCAAACACACATGACATGTGGAAACAGTGTTGGTGGCGCCACGTGGTGAACGACCAGTCGTGCACCAGTCCCAGGTGAACGACCAGTCGTGCACCAGTCCCAGGTG